TTCCTGCTGTTTGTTAGAAATTAAATTCTGCTTTCATATGTATTGATGGAATCAAGAATGCAGCAGCAGACAGAGATCTGATTCTCGAAGTTCTTTTATCCAGCCAGCAGCCATACTGACAGATTTCAACACAACTGAGGATTTGACCTTCATCCAAAGATGACTGCACTGTGAAAACCAGCAGCAGACTTCACTAGTGATTACTTCTAATATTTTGCTCTCATCGGTAGACCACACTTTCATCTCAGCTATGAAAAAGAGAGCATATATATGACTCTGTGTAGAAAAACATGCTTATTAACATGGGACACTAATCCAAACTGAGAGGTCTCCAATTCAACTTGACCTACTAGAAAGACGTAAGATAAAAGAGTTAAACAAACAGAGATTTTAAAGCAAGCTTCTCCTTTTACTTTCTGCCCTGTTTCCTAACTCAAAGACTTTTGAAAACAAGTGTTAGACTAAATGGTAATTTGCCATAAATTAGTTTGCAAACTAAAAAAAACTTCCTGGAAAGCTCAGGCCATGTTTTAAGCTAATAATAAAGCCTGTGTCAGACAAATGTTATATTTTAGCTCAGAAAGAACTCCAGTGAACAACTCTTTTAAATGCAAAGAGCCATTTATATTACCCTGCCCCTAGCTGAAATAACTTGAAAGTACAGCTGGAAGTGCTGTTGTAAAATAGCAAATGCACTCTCAATTTGAGTAAAACACCCACTTCATGGAACTTTTCCTGCCTTTCTGATTTCTAAGAGTTATATTTCGGGCCAAGATAAAACTTAAGTGAAATCCCAAATTTTACCATGCTGAGAATCCACATACTGGTTAGTTGCTCTCTCCCAACTCACACAGACACAATAGTGGATGAGTTGTAAAGCAGCTAAATGTCAAACCAAAGTGATCTAAATCCCACCAAGCTAGTCCCCTCATGACTATATTTTCATAGACTCATACCATGAACAATATCCAAAACTTAACCCAGATAGGAGAGACCGCTTTTCCAGAAGCAGAGGAAACAAGGGATTTTATATCCCAGATCAGCCGTCATCTGTTCCTTTATAAGTGCCAACCTCTTACATTTAATTTCTGTGGCATCCTTAAAATAATCTAATACTAATACATAATACTGATATCAGGTGGTTTTATTCAGGAGCTCCAGATTATGATCATAATAATGCTGCATACAATGATGCAGAGGGTCTTTCATTTTTCACAGAGCACAGTGGGAAGAATAGCTGGAAACGGCATATTTTGCATGATCTCACATCTTTAGGTTTACCTTTGCTGTTACTATTCTGCCTGCATTACTGAGTACCAGAGAAATAACCACGTAGCAGAGATACAACAAGGAAAAAACTTTACAAATTTAATTTAATTTAAACTTTCCTAATATCCATATATTATTTATTTAATACGTACCTGTTGTGCTATATTAAAACATTACATACTTTATATCAAAGACAAAGCAGAGGCCAAAAGCACTTGTTGCAAGCATGGCTGTTTCTCACTGCACTCACGTTATTTTCCTACAGTTCTTGCATACAGACTTCTCATTAAAAACTCTGGCTATGTTACCCCGCTTTAGGCATCTACAGTTTAAGCTAGTTGCACAGATCCTCCACACATCTGCAGAGTGTGACAGTCCATTTCAGAGGATAATTCCTTTCACTCGTCTTAGACCCTTCCTGAAGTGGTATAGGATGAAACATCATTTGGTGTAAACAATCACTCTCCACTGGCAGTGAAGGTAGCTCAGATGCATTACTTTCAGGAAGCCAGACTTGGGTAATTAATTCCAACTTCTACATTTGTGGTACCTGTTTCCAGAGTGGTAACCAGGTAGAATGCTTCCTATAAGTCCCAAGAAGTTGCTGTGTGATGACTCCAGAGGTAATCTAGAGAGCAGTTGGACTTCTCATATCTGTCTTCTTTTCCAGATATGGCAAAAGCTAAATTATTTCAATGATCCTTGTTAAACTATTTCTGTCACTGTTTTTGTGCAGGTTTAGTATCTATTAATCAAAGACTTCAACTTGAGAACTGATATCCAGAAACTGAGCCAGAGATTATCTGCTGGAGGCACTTAATGAGATAACAAGAAAAATAGTATCCTTCTTTTATGCAGTGCCTTTCATCTACTGATCTCTATGTCGTTTAGATTTCTATCATTTTATAAATATAGAACTGGCATCAGAAAGAGGTTAAACATAGTGAGACTCAGGCATAAAATTAGAAACTAGGTCTTGTGGGTTTTAGTCCCTTAGCTTTAAGACCAGCTTCCTTACTTCTGCAGCAGAGTTTAACCGCTCTAGCCACGTGATAAGGTGCACATTTCCATTTCCCTCCTAAGATAATTAATCACCAAATACATTGAGTGAAATGGCATTTTTCACTTTTTTAGAATCATAAAATCATACAATCATTTAGGTTGGAAAAGGCTTTTAAGATCATCAAGTCCAACCATTAACCTAGCACTGCCAAGTCCACCACTAAACCATGTCACTAAGCACCACATCTACGCATCTTTTAAATGCTTCCAGGGATGGTGACTCAACCACTCCCCTGGGCAGCCTGTTCCAATGCTTGACAACCCTTTCAGTGAAGAAATTTTTCCTAATATCTAATCTAAAACTCCCCTGGCACAACTTGAGGCCATTTCCTCTTGTCTTATTGTTAGTTATTTGGGAGAGGAGACTGACAGTTCGCTACAATCTCCTTTCAGGTAGTTGTAGAGGACAATAAGGTCTCAGCCTCCTCTTCTCCAGACTAAACCACCCCAGTTCCCTCAGATGCTCCTCATGGGACTTGTGCTCTAGACCCTTCACCAGCTTTGCCCTTCTATGGACACACTCCAGCAACTCAATGTCTTTCTTGTAGGGAGGGGCCCAAAACTGAACACAATATTTGAGATGCGGCCTCACCAGTGCCGAGTACAGGGGCACAATCACTTCCCTACTCCTGCTGGCCACACTATTTCTGATACAGGCCAGGATGCTGTTGGCCTTCTTGGCCACCTGGGCACACTGCTGGCTCATATTCAGCTGGCTGTCGGTCAACAACCCCAGGTCCTTTTCTGCCAGGCAGCTTTCCAGCCACTCCTCCCCAAGCCTGTAGTGTTGCATGGGGTTGTTATGACCCAAGTGCAGAGCCTGGCACTTGGCCTTATTAAACCTCATGCAGTTGGCCTCATCCCTTCGATCCAGCCTGTCCAGATCCCTCTGTAGAGCCTTCCTACCCTTCAGCAGATCAACACTCTCATCCAACTTGGTGTCATCTGCAAACTTACTGGGGGTGCACTCAATCCCCTTGTCCAGATCATTGATAAAGATAATAAACAGAATACTGGCCCCAGTATTGAGCCCTGAGGAACACCGCTTGTGATCAGCCACCAACAGGATTTAACTCCATTCACGACAACTCTCTGGGGCCGGCCACCCAACCAGTTTTTTACCCAGTAAAGAGTACACCCATCAAAGCCATGAGCAGCCAGATTCTCCAGGATAATGCGTGGGAGACGGTGGCAAAGGTTTTACTAAAGTCAGGTAGATAACATCCACAGCCTTTCCCTCATCCATTAAGTGGATCATCTTGTCATAGAAGGAGATCAGGTTAGTCAAGCAGGACCTGCCTTTCATATACCCATGCTGACTGGGCCTGAGTGCCCAATTGTCCTGTACGTGCCATGTGATGGCACTCAAGATGATCTGCTCCATAACCTTCCCTGGCACTGAGGACAGACTGACAGGCCTGTAGTTCCCTGGATCCTCCTTCTGGCCCTTCTTGTAGATGGGCATCATATTTGCTAACTTCTAGTCAACTGGGACCTTCCCGGTTAGCCAGGACTGCTGATAAATGATGGAAAGTGTCTTGGTGAGCACTTCCACCAGTTGCCTCAGTATCCTTGCGTAGATCTCATCTGGCTCTATAGACTTGTGTGTGTCTAAGTGGTGTAGCAGGTCACTAACCATTTTTCCTTGGAATATTAGGGCTTCATTCTGCTTATTAAACAAAATTAATCCTTGATAACCCACCACTGATCTTCTTTATGAATTTGAACCCTCAGTTTTGCCATGTCTCTCAGTTTAGAAGTACCTCACAACACGTGTCTTTGCCTATGTAGAATCACATAGACAGTTAAAGCAAGGTGAAGGTTAAGTCTGTTCCTGCCTTGCTTTTTTGTTTGGGAAGTTGTAAAATGAAAACTGTTAAACTGAGAAGGACTGTGACAATTTTCCCTTTATAATTGTAAGTTTCACTGCTTGAATATGGCCATTGCTTATTGTAGGCTATCTAGAAAATTACACACAATTGTTATCAACTGGATAGACAGTACAATTTCCATATTTCTAAATAAAAGAGGTAATATATTTAATTTCTTTTTCCCATTGGTGGCAGAGAAGCTCACTCTGGTAAATTAGCAGGTGGTCTTTATTTTGAGGAAGGTCAATGGCATGCCCAAGGTAGGGAGTATTAGAAAGGGAGTATTAGAAACAGTCAGAAAACATCCAGAACACCAGATTTTCTAGAACCTTTGACACTTTCACTACAAAACAAGTACTATTTGCTAACTTGTTACAAAGAATGGCAAGGTAAATTTACTAAAAATAACCTAGGACAAAAAAAAAAGATAAATATTTGCCCTTATTTATCATTCCTATCTCTTTCACCCCCACAAATACATTCTAGTTACGCACAATCCTCGATTTTAGCAGAGCAAAAAAAAAAGAGCATTATTATTCTTCATAAACTTTTTCATGTCTCCTCAATTCACTGTAGAAGGCCCACAGCGAGAACGGCCATTACCAGAGCTGCTTCCGGACGGCTTGTCCTTTCAGGGTTTCCACATTGAAATTGTTTGTCTTTGCTGGCATGATGAAGAATACAACAACTGTAACATCTGTCTTATGAACCTACATGGACACAAGATGGAAAGAAAAAAAATCTCACTGCAAGGTATCACAGCCAACTTTAACAGAAAGAATTAGTCACAGGAAAAGCCAATGCACTTTGATTTGTTGTCCAGGAAGGCTCTGATCTTATATCTCTCCCTTTAACTATGAAGTTTTTGTCAAGTCAGAGGTATAGCTAAGAATAGATACAGGTAAACATATCACCCAATTCCAATTTGGGCAATAGAGATCTTCCTGACTTCTCTTGGTTTAGAGGCCATAGCTTAGCTTTAGTGAACATAAACTGCAAAAAAAAGAAAAATCCTACACACATTTTCTCACCTGACACAAATTTTGTTGCCTCAAAGTAGTGAGCAATTCATTTACTAGCTGGGGTATGCCCAGGCATGGGGTGAGGGATTCCCTACAGCAGCAAGCAGAACTACATTCTATAGCAATAGTGTCCCAGAGGTATGGGCAGAAAGAGGCATGACAGCAACCTGAACCCCTGGCAAAGAACCTGCCAGACACACAAAAAGCTGCAACTAACTTGCTCATCTCTCACATACAGCTACTGCAAAGGCAAAAAGAATTTGCTGTAAAATCTGACCCTTTACTTACAGATAGTTTCACTTGCTGGTTTCTCCTGTGTGCTAACAAGACTCAGAGTACCAGGTCCCTGAGGGATTCCTCACATGAGGCAGAACAAGGTTGTACTCCTGTCAGCAACTATTTAAAGTAAAGCTAAGGGTGAATTGCATTCAGAGCTGTAAAAGTTAAATTATTTTGAATTGCCTCCATTCTAAACTTTAGACACACAAACATGCCATTAGCATGCCGTCTCTCAGACTGAGGTACAGGGAAATGTATAGTATAAAATAACATGGGAGTCATCTATCATTTTAAGGTTCTTCCCTTCTCTCTCTTCAAGGCAGGTTCAAAGTCCATCATGCTATGATCTCAGTGTATATTAACAATCTGTCCCAACATTCATATTTTATTTCCAAAATGTTACAAAGGTTTTCAAGTAGCAAAGGAAAAGGACTCTGTAAAATAAAATAATTCCATCCAATGCCATGTATTTTTTAGGTTCAGGCACACCACTGGGACTTGTTTAAGCAGCACCAACATTCCCAGATTCACAAGTAGTACAGGTATTCTGCTGTTCCCAATGGAATTACCGCTTGAAATAATAACAAGAGCAAGTGTTCTTTGAATAGCTAATCAGGTGCTGGCATGCATGTTGGACCAGTAATGGAAGAAAGCCAGGCTCAGCTTATGGGAGAAGCAAGTCCCAGTACACCGTTCTAGGGAGCTTTGGAAAACTAGCCTCAGTTTCCTTTGACTTTCCATCAGCCCAGCTTGCCATTGATTTCATGTAAATCATTAGATACAATAAGAGATTGCTGTAATCATTGCTTAAGCAATTCTTACACTCTTACCTCATAAGACCTTCCACATTATCAGCATTTATAGTTAATAGCTACGTAAATGACATTAACAGGTAGCTGATGTTGCACAGCATTGCCAAACAGCAAGAGTCAATTGTTTGGCAAAGTTGTGGAAGAAATACTTATGTCGTGTGAGGTGACCTGTGGTGTGAATGAATGTGTATACTGTGAAGTATTTCCAGAAAGTCCACAGGCTCCAAAGGTGTATTAATAAAAGGTAGGAGTAGAACAAGTGTACTTAGGGATTGGAAAATTGGTATTTTTTCAGCCCTGCTGACAATATAGTGTCAAGATTTTTATCCAGATTTTCTATATAAATTTAAATAACAGAGTACAAAAGAGAGAGTCTGGGACAACATCTGATTGATAATTGCTAGATGACTGAAAACTGATTAGCATTTAAAGATTTTTTTATTTTAAATGTAGCAATCTTTGGGACACATCTCAAGACAGTTTCAATGACCTCATTTGTAGGTGGTAAGTTGTCTGTTCTCTGTTCTTTGATCATGACAAGGCCTAGGTCTTACCTTCATTACAGTACTCCGTAAAGGCATTTAGAAACATTGCACTCATTTTTTACCTGAGGAAACAGAAGCATGGAGGAGTGAGTGCCTTCCCCATGCTTATTCATCAGGCCACTGCCACACTGTGAATTTTAATGCACGATTGCCATCCAATGTGATAATAGTACTCAAAGATTTAAAATATCATGTCAGGTCCTAATGAATCAAGCAGTTTGCTTAAAAAGATATTTTTAAATTGCATCATTCAAGGATTATTTTTATTTGCCTTCTAATATGTAAACCTTCAGAGTAAATTCTTGAATCATATTTTCAGTATTTTTCTCTAAAAACAAGGGAGGTAACCATAGATTAACTTCTTGAACTATGTAACCAATTATTTTTAAGCAGCCTGGGATCATTATGTACTCTGATGATTCAGGGAGAGAGCTTTATGAAAACTCTGAGTATCCCATAATTATTTTCCTATAAATCAGGGTATGGCATGAAAATTCTTCCAGGTGACTTCCATAGTATGGTAAGTTTCAGCATAAACTCTATGTTATCTACATTTGCAGAAGCTTTCTTACCCTCAGCAAAAAGTTTAATCTTGATAAGGCTTCTAGAAACATATCAGCTCCTTTGTTGGAAAACTCGTATCTCCCAGCAATGAAGAAAAATAAGGTCTTCTCAAGACTGAAGTCAAGGTGGCTGAAACCAAACAAACAAACAGACAAGCACAAAGTATTTCTCAAGATATAGTCAAACAAAACACACAACAGCTTTCTATTGTGGAGGAATTTATTATCCCAAGAAAATGATGAAACTGAGGCTTTCTGCTGTTCTTTAAATTAAGACTATCTTAATCTGATAAATTGCATTTTGGGTAAATGCTGAAAAAATCAAGACTTTCTGCCTGATCCCACAATCTGTTAAGCAGAGTTAGAACTGGTGTCTAAAATTCCTTTAGCCTCTGACTGAGAAATCCCAGACAGATACTGGAATAAGTTGGTAACATTTCACCTGCTCTAGGAAGTACTTGTTAGTTTTCCTGCTTTGGTTCTTGCTTTAAATAGTGTTGGACAACCATTGCTAATTTTTGAAAAATAAAAGCATACCCATAGAAATGACCTCGAATGAACTCTTGGATCCTAGCCTTGTACATGGAATGCAAATTCTGAAACTCATGCATTGCTGAAAATTTCTTAATGTTCAAGCCATTTGGAGTGACAACATCTGGAAAAGCAGAGAAAAGGCAGAGGTAGACATCTTCAGAGTCAGAGAAATCGTTAAGGAAAGAACCAATGTGTCTTTCAGTTGTCAGTATGTGAACAGGTTATATACTCCTATTACTCAGGGACAGGGAACAGCACTGTCTAACACAGTGGTCTCCACCAGCTTACTCCACAAAGCTACTGCATGTGGCACTCGACTGTCTATAGCACTGAAGTGGCTTTGTACCATTTTGACCTATACTTAACATGAGCATAGACCTTGCTGAACAGTGAGGTCTCCGCATGCCCTTTTGTGTTGTGCTGTAAAGACTAGGTAATGTCTCCAATTAGCCATATTTTTTTTGTGCAATATGCCCTTTAACTCTTTATTCTTGATATCACTGTTGCCTGCTTTATCATTGTAGATTGAAAACTCTTGAAAGCAGAAACCGTGCTGTACTATGCACTTGTTTACTGCATGGCACAAGAGAGGTCTGTTCTGTCAAGACTTCTGAGGATTTACCAGAAAAGGGAGAATATAAGAAACCTTTTTAAGAAGATCATCTTTCAGTAATCTGTTGGATTTCTCCTACAAATAGCCACAGAATAGTATGCTTTACACATTTATGGCTGCTGTCCTCAAAGATTCCGAAGCATCTTATAATTAAAATTTGTTTATTTCCAGTATCTTTTAAGATAGAGTTATAGGATATACACAGAGTTATGAAGATAGGCATAGCTTGTTCCAACCAACACTGAAATTCAGTCACTCTTCGCCTTTCTGGTAAAACACAGCAGCTATTTAAAGGATTGCCCTAAATCTAGTTGAAGTAAATGGAAAGAATGCCATTTTCTTTGGCTTATGAAAGCCATGTATGGAAATGAAAGGGGAGGCCAGCTGTATAATTGCTGGGTTGTACAACAGCAGTTGTACTCAGCAGTTGTATTTTATATATCATATATGTTATACGTATATATAACAAATATATAGCTGACTTCAGTAGACATACTAATTTATCATATCAGAGATTCTTTAGATGCAAAGAATCTTCAAAGAAGCAAGAAGCACTAATTATTAGAGGATGCACTGGTGCCGATTTCATACTTTTCTCCTGGCAAGTGTCATCAGGTGTCTAGTAACCACAACCATTAACTGTAGTAATTTTAGAAGTTCTATGCATCACCCAAAGGATCTTCAATAAGATATCATTCCCCACCACACACAGTTCATGCAAACAAAACAGCATCTCCTTTGACCTCAGTGCACATGGTTAACTCCCTCCCATGCATCAGGGTTACTGATGAGAGTACAGTTTCTTGCCTGCTACTGAGACAGGACGTTAAGATTACTTCTATTGTGGTCTTTCAGTCAAGGATGCCTGACATAAAGGGTTTCCTTCCCTTAAAAGTAGAGGTTTGTATGTCTAGCATTAAGTATCGCACCTAATACAAAACCGTCTCTTATTTCCAGAGACTTAGGAGATGTCTTTAAAACATCTATGGCTCCTTTCGTTGATTACATATCAAAATGATCTTAAAATAAGTACAATCAGTTCTCCATATGCTGTCCAGTATACTTGCTTGACATTTTTCATGCAAATACCACAGCCATTTTTAATGACTTCTTCGAAATTTACAGTCTGTTTTATCAGTATATGTATTTCCCTGCCAGGTAAGTAAGTGATCTCTAATTACTCATTATCTTGTAAAGTGTTTTGAGACATGCAATACCAAAAATTTTGATGGATCTGTCTTGAAATACCCCATTTTAAACTGAAGATCAGCCTTTAGCAAGAAATCTTTACTAGTTACGTTCTTGGCATTTGGTTCTCAGTGACAAGAAAGGAGAGTCTTGGTGAGCCTGACAAGAAAACTGATGTTCTTATCTTCGGCTGCCCAGCACTAGGAGCTGCTCTGAACAAAGCCCTGTGTGTCCTCATATGAGTGAGGGAGTCAACAGAAGAAACACCCTCCATTTCTCTGTCTTTACAAGCAACATATAGTCTCCTTCCTCTGACCTGCTTCTTGTTCAGCATGGAGTAACTGGCTCATGCAGGACATAGCTTTGAGACTGCAATGACATCAAGCTCTTCCCAATAGAATAAGAATCCTTGACTGGGTATTTCTGGCCAGTTTCCATCCACTCTCTTGCTTTTATTTATCAGGGAGTTTTGGACACATTCACCCATCATCATCAGCCTGTATATAACCTACTCCCATGTTCTTTGATTCAACTGCAGATTAATTTACCTTTTCATCAGGATTGGGGCTCAATACATTTCTTATTTAAGCCTTTGAGATACAGAACAGATGTAGTGGCCCAAAGCATCCAGTCCACTATTTCTGCTAAACATACAACAATATATTGAATATGTGTGAGGCAATGTGCCCTTGCCCTAGGGAAGAAGTGATGAGAGAGCGCTTTGTTCCTATTTTAAGTGTTTTGGATTTTTTGTTGTTTCATGAATTAATGCAATTTTTGTTTTTAAATTTTCCCAAGTAGGTCAAATTAGAATGATTTGAGTTCTGTATTTATAAGAAAGAAACTGGCATTGATTTAAATAACAACAGTATGCTGTTTTCTGTTGATAAATCACTAAGATTCAGGGTTGACTCATACTTTTTCAGAGTTTACTTCTATGATTTTGATCAAATATATAGAGATATGAAGCCTAGATCTAGGTCTTAACTGATACCTAAATCTCTTGGAATTTTCATTCAAAGTCTTATCTACTGCTAATAAGAAATAAATTTAATATGATTAATACCTGAAAATATTAGAAAACCCATATCAGTTTTCAAATCACGGGAATATAACTTATGATCACTGTAGAATCTTGCATGATATATCAAAGAGAACAGGTTCAACATTAGATATTCAAGCTTTTGACAAATATAGTTTGATAAATTACTGATCAGATAACAACAGTGGCAAGTGAAATCCAGGTTTAGACTGGCAAATCAGCCTTTGTCCCGGTGCAAAATGCTCTCTATGCAATCATGTCTACTGAATTTTAAAGGGGCTTTTTCAAGTGATGAGATTTATAATTTAAATTATAGTCCAAATTTCACATTAATAAGAAGTAGCAGAGACTGTTCTACTTACCACATCTCAGTTATTTTTAGTTAACAACTTTGTCATGAAGTTTACCTCTCAATAAATGCAAATACAAATAAAAGTTAATTGTGCCAATTCTGCAACCCCCTTCTAAAAGTTTATTTTTAAAGTGGATCAAGAAGTGTACAAATTCTTTCGTTATTCACATTCCTTTGCAGAATTCAAGCTTAATGATCTACTGAAGGATTGCTGACCTTTCTGAACCGCCAATGTCTATGCTGATTTCACAACTCCAGAGAGAATAAATAGTATGAGAATAGACTTCTACACAGTTTATTTGTGGTCTAAGATTCAAAGGAACTATTAAAGTACTTATTAGTACTTATTCCCATCAGAAAGTATTTTCCTCTTACAGTTGTCTCCTAGGATTTGGGGTACCAGTTCCTACTGAATTTCTTTCTAGCTCCGTCAACATGAAGCATGATATGTGTCAACAAATTTTTAACGCAAACATTAAATATATTTACTTGGTTTCTTCAAAGTTGCAAGAATAATCAAAAAAAGCTCAGGCCTGTGAATCTCTGTGCATGGGATTCTCTTCAGCTTCAACTGATGTTCTATCTGTGAGCAGTCTGCAGATTTTCTCTCCCAAATTAAACTGGATTCAGACTCATTTCAGTCTCCTAAAATCCCAAAACATAAACTATGATTTCCCAACTGTTGTGGGGAGAAGCCTCATGCCAATATAAAACAGCTTCAAAAGTCTGATTTTCAGAGGTCAAGTGCTCTGCACTTGGTAAAAAACATAACCTTTCAGAGATATTCCAGATTAGATGACTGAACACTTAAATTACTTTTAAGACATGGCTGTCAGGTTTAAAATAAAAGGAAAGATCTTCTAAGTTCATCATCCTATTGACAGTTAGTCAGGAATGAGGCAAAGAATCCAACTTCTCTTTTATCCTGATGCATGAACCACAACGTGGCTTGAAGCATTGACGTTAACAGGGATAACGGTCTCAAACTATACTTAGCACTGCAATTCACCTAAAAAAAATTGACAAAGAATGAACAAACAAAAAAACCCCAAAGTCATTTGAGCATTGCTATAGTTAAAACAACCAACTAAGATGTGAACACACCTGCTAAATAGTCTCAAAATTGTTTTGCAGTTTTTCCCCCATAACGCTTACCTGCAGATGGAGTACTGTGGCTTGTCCTTATAAAGCATTGTCCTGATTTAGTAAGAACTTTAATGACACATCAAACTAGGATCATGACTTTATTCAAACTCCATGCATGGAACATGACAAGGTTTGTTAGAAAGTTCCATATTTTATTAGACTAATACAAAGGGGAAATTCAGACAAACTGTCAAGCACATATTCCGACTATTTTTTCAAACTGTACTGGTTGAAAATATTACATCTATCATGATTAGGTCCTAAGATCATGATGGCCACAACCACACTGCTACTCCTTCACTGTTAGAGATGCAGGGAAATGAACTGTATTGATTTACGGTTTGTTTTTTGCCTTTTCATCTCTTTCGATATCAAGTAAAGAAAAACAACATTGGCACCGGAAAGCAAAAGTCATCTAACATTGTTTTGCATATGAATCTTTTTGCTACATTTCTAAAAGAACATATCGCTCATCTCTAGCAAAGCGACAAACCTCACACTGTAAAAGCTGTTGAAAAGTATTACAAAGGTTCCAGCTTCTGCTTTCATCAGCTGACCTGAATATATTACCATCACGGGAAACCCTACTATAGACAAAACTCCTGAAGCTGGGACGTCCTTGGAAAGAAAGCCTAACATCCATGGAGTTAAACTAATTCTCTCCTGAAATGGTACTGAAAGTAGTTATTAGATGGTTCTGAACCTGATTTCTTTCACATTACATATGCTACTCCAAAGTGTTTCAAGTGATATTATCTGCACTTTGAAAAACGGTTATTCTCTGTAGCACAGCCAGACATACCTATGCGTGTGTCCTTGCTCTTCATGTTTGTATAGTCTTTATTATTTTCATTCAGTCTGAGGAAATGTAGGTACTCAGAGGAAATAAAAGAAGAACACAATACAGGTCTTACCAGGATTTCTTTTAAGCATATGTTCTGCTTCTATAGCTGTTATCTGTGAGACTGTGGTGAACACATGGGCACAATGTACAGATGCCCGCTCCATACAGTATCGATGGTAAATCTGTCTCTCTCCTGCTTCCTTGTCAATGTCAAACTGTTAAATAATAAAACAAACAGAAAAGACACCTGTGTGATATGCTTATTATCAGACTTATTATCACAAACAAGGTCTCTCGTGTTAAGCCTGATTTCCCCAGGGCATAAGAATCATGTGATTATGCTGTTGGTTTGTCTTTCTGGATTTTTAACCATTTTATCAACTTCAAAGAGTTTGAAGGAGCAAGAGAGGTCTCAGTTCTCGCATGTTCGTGAAAAAAAGGCAGCTCTGCAATGGAGGGAGACCTAGACTGATGATCCCATGAAAGGTAAGGATCTGTGCTACATGGCAATGTCATGCTGCATCTTGTCTGGGCTTGTTGGAAAACTTGGGAGAGCAGGGAAGTTGCTGGTAGCTGCAGGTATAGGGGAGAGAAGAAAAAAAGTAATGGGGATGAAGAGAGAACCTGGGGACTGGGTAGAATGGTGGGAATCATGGGTAGGCAAGAGAAAAAAGAAGTTGTGGCAGAGAGTTAGGATGTGAGAACTCAGTCACAAATCCTGAGAGTACAAAGAAAATACTCAGAGTTGTTGTTCCTCCAACTCCACCACTATTATTTGCGGCTCCTTTTACTTCAATTTGAATTACATTACTTTATAGAGGCAGATGTAAGTTAGATAAGACCATCCCAAATACCAAGTTTTTCTAAATTGCCTTTAAACCTTGCAGCTACCCCTTTTTTTACTGAGCTTATGTTATCCAGATGAGAAGAAAATGTACAATACCTGTGGAGCCCATGCTTAAAGGTTTGAATGTTCACTAATGATGCTCACTACAAAATCACTACAATGTAGTCTAAAAAAGAATAATGCTAATGGGGTGTCAATGATTACAATTAAATTACAACCCTCTTAGTCTTACATGATGTTTCACTTCTGGGAACAGAAGTGTTGACCTCCTAAGTTCAACAGCATGGGCACCAAATAGACTGTGTGTGTTACATGGAGAGTGACGATGACTCTCAATGAGCTCTGTCATTATCACTGCCTAATGCTGGCTGCAGTATGATTTTGATTGCATTTGACTCTGTAACTTCATTGACCATTATTATAGGTTGGGCACACTGCACTTTCTATAGTTAGGACTATCTGACCTTTGCAACGGCTAGTTGCTTTTAGTACTTTAGAACTTAGTCAGAAGTAAAGCTATTTAGACCATGTCTTTTCATGCTGAGTACTTGCTTAAGGTTGGTATAGAACATATTTTAAGAAATTTCAGGAAATATGAACCATTTCAAGGAACAAGATTTAAGCAAATAATTTTTTATTTTTACTTAGATAGGTATAGATGTAGAAATAGATATCTTACAACTGTTTTGCTAAGAAACTTAAGCGTTTTTATCCACTGAGCTCTCAGATTTTGCAGTGGTGCTACACTGCTGGTGGGAAAGTGCCTTCCACTATATTAGCTGAAAATGCTACCCTAATGGGACCAAAAAAGGAGTCTTGAAAAATTTAATCTGAAAAGTTCTAGAGAAACTAGATGCTTTCTTTTGGTATCGATGATCCTATATGTCAAGAGTTTCTAAGCTTGACAAAGAGATTTTTAGAAAAACTAGGAAATATGCTTGACCACATAATATGCTATACATTATGATACCATTTTTCAGCTGTATCATCATATATCGTATTTTCTGCATTCACCATGAGAATTTTAGTGCATGAAAATACAACCATGTCACAAAAGAAGATCTTTTCTCTAGAACACACACCTCATTTGTCACAGAAGTTGAATGGCAGAAAAAGCACAGGGCAGGAGGGTAGAGGAAGAGAAAAAAAAAGGTGAATTAATTTGACTCCTTAAAGTGTCACAGATCTTTAACATGATGCTTTGCTTACCCTAAACCAAATCTTTCACATACAGTTTTTAAGTGTGTGTTGCTCCTTTTCTGGGAGACTACCTTGATATCTTTGAGTTTGATTTGTTGAAGTGTTGAGCATTCACATCTACATCTGAAATCCACTGGACCTATATACTCGGAGGTTATAAAGTACTTGGTACTGCTAGCTCCAATAAAGGCTTCCCTAAGAAAATGTGGATGGGGTACCACTGCACAGTCCAAAATGTGAAAATTTTTTCAAATACATCTGACTTTGTATTAAAAATAATTTTTAGATTGCTAGCAAACAAATAGCTGGCCAAACTTTACAAGTTTTTTTTTTTTTTTTCCTCTTTTCCCTTTCTCACCAAGAATGGGTTCTTTACAAAATGTAATTAAAAACTAAATTAGGCATATTCACTAACTGTATATAAACATTCCCTCCAACACTACTGGGAGAAAGGTTCATAAAAGGTTTGTTCAAAGCACTATGGCTTGTTTCTTGGTAGCTTTTATTTCTTTGATTACATGAAAGCATTTAACACATGCAACACACACACATTGATGTTTATTTCTTCATTGCTATTCATTTTTTCATTTTCTGGAAATATTTTATTTTGCACATGCTTGCACAACTTTTGGCATGCCTTTTCAAAGGTACACAATTCCGTGTCTATTAGCAAGTATAAACTGAGGTCACAGAGTTCTCACATTTCATTTGCTCTCACTCTCCAGCAGTTTCCTCCACCGACGGGTAAAGCAAGATCTTGACCTTTGACTTTACATATAGTGTGGAGTAAGATACCTCATTGTGCACCTCTGAGCAGGCTAGAGGAGTGACTTCAGAAAGTAAGCCTAGACAAAAGTTGAAGGGCAGGTTAAATGAAACTTAATTGATGAGAGTGCAGGAGACAAATTTAGTCCACACGGTACTGTGCAAAGATAGCTGAGCTTGCTGTGACAGTATTAGCTCCAGAATTAGAGGCAACGTGGGGCACGGCACTATATTGAGCAGATATGTTGAAATGAAGCAGAACACTAGTCCAGCTGGTTTGCTCTTCATCCCCAAACCAATGTTGCTGCTCAGCAATCAGGTCTGCTGTCTCAATGCTTGTCTGCCCTACCTCAGGCACCTGTGAACTATGTTCCATAGCATTCACGTTCAACAAGGGCAAAGCAAAATATCTGTGAAGTGCGTCATGCTTACTTTTGTTTATTTGCTGTTATCAGCAAATGGGAACACAAGCAAAGCCACAAATGAAAGCTGCATCAAGAGAAAAACAGCTCTAAGCCAGATTAACTCTTTATAGAATCATTTAGGTTGGAAAATACCCTTAAGATCATCGAGTCCAGGCATTTCTTCCCTCAGTGACTTTTAAAGACTGACGACTTCAATATTGACTTCTCTGTAAATATTCCACTGCTCCCAGTGAGGATCCCCTCCTACTCTGACTGTTAGAAACCAAGCAGTTTATTAGAATTTGCATGACAGCAAGGATTGTAGGGGAAGATACCTCCCCTATACTCTAATTTCAAAGCAAAACAGGCAGATGTTCCACAGGCATAATGCTTTGGAGTAAAATTTGCATCTGCTGCAATGCAATTCTGCGGAAAAATTTCAGTTTATTTTTGTCCTTTCTATGGATCCACGCGATGAGCATAACATTTCATCCCTGTCTCAAAATTTATCATGTTAGAGGGCACAGTAGGTAATCACTGAACCTCCTAGCATGACATTCTGGTTAAGACAGCTAAGATAATCTTTGAATGCAAAAAGAAGAGAATATCGAGCAGTTATGGGATACTGGCGTTATGTTTCTCTTGGAAACAGCGAACAGCCACTGAAGTAATAAAAAAAAAAAAAAAATCCAAATCAGACATTCCTACTTCAAAATGATAAAGACAAATTGAAAAGGATTTACAAAAGCACAAGAAGAATGATTTGATAGTGGAGAAGGACGAAAGACTATAGTAGCCATGTAAATACTTTTCTGAAAGACAGATAAATTATTTGTCACAGTCTGCATACAATCTCTAAATAGAGATACTAGATTAAGCTTTCATAAAGCAAAAAAAAAAAGTATGATGAAAGCCAATGAAAGTTAAACCAAGAAAAACGCAAACTGGAATTAAAATACATAGTTTTGATAAGGAATAACTTTGTGACACCTTTGCATAAATAATATAGATTCCTCTCACCATTTGAACCTTACATTTTTGTACATAGTTTGTACCTCAGATAAAAGGTATAGGTTTGATGCATGAATTTTTAGCTAAGTATTTTAGGCAGAGAATGAAATGATCTCTTCTGGTCTTTAAAATCGGTGGCACAATCACAAGGTGGTTCTGCAGTGGAACCAGGAACAGTCAGAGGTAGGCCTGAAGCTCAAATTCCTTACCTACCAAAAGGTAGAATGGAAAGATCTTCACTTCTAGCACAATATCCCTGGCTGCCATTGTCTGAATTATGCAAGAATTACTCTTTTTAAAATCCATCTTATGTCATATTTAACTCCCATTGACTGTTATCTTGTACAAATAGAACTTTCATTCTGGTATAGCTCTGCCACGAGAAACAACAATGAAATTTACACTTCCTGGCTTAAGTCAGATTTCCATTAGCTGCTCTACTAACAAAGCAGATTAGCTTTGCATAACAGTGGGCTCAGTGGTGGCTGTGACAGCACTGTGTGGAATGAGAGCTTGTGCTCCTATATTGTCAGCATAAAAGCTCTTGACTATTCATTTTCATTGGTATTTTTAGTACTTTTCCTTTTAGACCTCTTGGGTCAGAATTCTCCACCGCTTTGCAAACTAGGTTCAGCTGCACTTGTGAGCCTGATGTAAAACGTTGCCAGGTCTAAATGAAAGTGTTACATGTGAGTAAGGCAACCTTATATACCGAAAAAGGCAATGAAGAATTAGTAACTTTTTTTTTTTCCTCCTTAGAGCACTTTCTCCATAATAACTCAAGGTAATTTTTTAGTAAGAAGCATCAGAGGCTGAAGCCTACAAACTTCTCCATTATGCCAGGCCAGTGGTCCACAAAACCATTTCAGATGGTCACCTCTCAGACAAAATTCCAGGTTAGATCATTTGCCAAAAAGACTGTTGCTGATACCGCTGCCTATTAACCTACGAACTTGTTTGGATCATCAGTGTCCCTCAGTCAATTTAT